GATAAAACTGTCAACAGAATTTTTTTTTGAACTGGGCTTGTAACATGAGATCTAGGTCATCTCTCAGTTGAACTGAGTTACACATCTGAGATACAACACCTCTGGCATTAGTAAAACTGGTTTAGAAAAAAAATAATTATAAAAAAAGTCAAATACCCTAAATAATAAGTTATTATGCCTTCAATGTTGAAGAAATCACTTTTTTTGGAAAGCTATTTAGGATTAGCAGAGCAAAAAAGAAAAGGAGAGAGATTCACTTCAAAAGTTATAAGCACAATAAACACACACGGAAAACCGTCTTTTTCCAACTCCATCCTCCCACATAGTCCTAATAACTACTTAAGGTGGACAAAAATCAAGACACTGTGGCCAAAATTGTGACATTTAAACCTTAAAGAAAGCAATTACTGTTGAAATTACAAAAAGGATTTGAGGAGCTAAAACTGACTTGTATACTAGACTAGATCTGTGTTTAAGATAATGCCTAAATTATAAAATAAACTTATTTCTTCAAACTGTAGGAAATAAATGAAATTTTCATTAATATGTGAAGAAAAGGCAATTTCTGACATGTTTGGGGGGAAAAATATGTTCTCTAAATAGAAGACTAGAAAACTAAGCATAACGCTTATGAATTCTATGCTCAAATTAAAGAGCCTTTGAGAAAAGTGTTTGAAGTCGGTGGCCAAGTTTAGGCTGCTTACTACAAGGAGAAGCCTGTCAGAGAAGTAATAGTAGGAGCGTTTCTGCTTGCATGGAGTGAAATTCAGGTGAAGAAACTCTCTAAAACCTTGCAACTCCAGTACCAGCAGCATTAGCCCCACACAAGAGCTTATCAGAAACGCAGTATCTCCAGGCCCCACTGCAGAACCTGCATTTTAGCAAAATGTCCCCAGATGATTAGTGTGCATTTCCAACTTTAAGAAGCACTGATCTAAAGGAAATGGTTTTACGAAACTATAGAGCTATTCCAGATACCTGGCATACACTTAAACTTCTGTATTCCCAGCACATCACTTAAACCCTCCAAAGTACCACCAATATCAAGATGAGTTCAGCATCAACAACACAATGAGTCAATAAAAAGAAAACTAAAACCGGGGGTGAGGTTGAACCACTCATTATGATCAGTCAGCTCTTCCAGCTAAGCCTTTTGCTGTCAACCACCCTGGCTCCAGATGCAACTGGGGTTGGAGGATTGTGGCTACAGATAACAGAAGGGCAGGCATACACATATCTCCCTAGCGAGCTGTCTTCACATATCCCTCTGTCAACAGTGACATACTCATGGCTCTTGGCCTACATACAGCCTGCAGACATGTCTGTTGGCCCACCCAGTATTTCAGGTTTCAATGGCATCATTTATAAATCTAAAACTTTCCCATTAAAAATTTTACACTTCTAAGTCCTCTTCTACAGTTCAGAAAATCTAGCAACACCAGGCCCACATTCTGGCGTGGCCACAAATGGAGCCAAGCTCAGTTCTCCCATCCTGAATGTTGGCCAGAATCTCTACCATTCCCCACAGTCTCCCCAACACTGTAGCTGAGACTGAGTGTCTGTTGCCATTTGTCATCTTCCATTTGGCCAGCTTCACTGATTCACATTCCCAGCCAGACTCCTATGCACATTTGAATTTGCAACCCCTTTAAGAGTCTCCAGGGGTATCATGTCACTGATCAAGTCATTCAGTCTATCTGAATTTATTTCTTTCATGTACATAAACCAGGAAAAGGAGTCATTTTTTGTGTTACACTAGTTTGAAAATCCATCTTTTGAGCTAGAATCAACCCACTTAACTACATATTATCTCACCTTAGATATATACTGTGATATTATTCTTCACAACTCATTCCAACTCAGATATTTTAACTACTACTTTTTGGAACTATACTTCAGTTATAAACAAAAGAGCAGCTATAACACAAATACATTGTTGAACCATTCCTCCAGATTCATTTCAAAACTTCAAGTATTATACTAAAATGGTAAATTCTGTATCTTTGTTTACTGAAATACCCCCAAGCACCTAGTGAGTGTTCAAGACACTGAATAGATCCATGAACTTTCCCAAAGATTATAAATTGTCAAAAGTTCACATGCAGATTTTTGAATGAAGGTGTTTAATTATCAACAGGTATATGAAGATTATTCATTTGCTAACCTAGTTCTATTTGGGTTAATCAACCAAATCATTTTCTTTCAGTGACTCTGAAAACCAGCGGTAGAGAAGAGACATGTAACTCCAACAAACCTAAGACTCAAGGCCTGTTACAACTTGCTCTGCAACAAAACAGCATCATGCAAATTAGGAAAAAATGGATAAACAGAATAAGAGTTAGTCTGATTCCATTTTGTGTCCCTTCATCTATAGTCTTTAGTCATCATCATAAATATCATTAACATCATCACCATCTCAATCAGATAGAACTGAACTTTGACAAATTGCTTACTGAAAAGCATTTCTGGAACATTTACTGGTGTTCCAGGAACTTTCTGTGCTAACCATATCTTGACTTTCTAAATAAAGGCGTGTACTGAAACATTATTACACTTCCCACACCATGAAGCTTAATAGGTCAGGACACAGCAAAAAATACATTTTTAATTATCTTGAAAACTTGAATGAAGCAAATATATTGCTGAGAAACTGAGGCACAGAGAAGTAAAGTGATTTTCTTGTGGTTATGTGGTTATTTATTGGTAGAGCTACAAAAGAATTTCCAGAGCTCTTACCACGGTACCACATGGGCTTTATAAAAATCATTTTCAAAATTTATTTGCTAACCAAAATGCAAGCCAATGAATTTTAACCCCTCAACAAATAATGTGATGAGCAAATATATCTTCAAATAGCAAACTCTAATTTTGACCCAGTTCTGGTATATTTATACACACACCAACAATCAATCTAAAAGAAGTTTGCAACAAATGCTAAATATGCTTCTTAGCAGGAAACTACTGTGATATAACATTTCAGGACCTAAAACTAGGGAAAAAAAAAAATTAGGCTAGAATTTTCCTTGAACTTAAAGCTGCCCAAAATGGGGCCTCTGTTTCCAGAGTCTGAGATTTCAATACCCTTGGCCTTTGGATTGCCTGCCTAAAAGGTAGATCACCTACCTCCTTTCTCCTTATATGCCATGAAAGAAAACTAAAGTTAGAACAGTTTCACTCAATTCAAGCCAACTTTCTGAAGAAAATAGAAACCAAAGCAGGACTGGGTCACTGCTGCTGATACGTCTGATGGCCATTCTAAGGAAGAATTTACTGAACTCTTCAACACCAAGAAATTTGAGTATGCCATCCATCATGCAAGGTAAAACCAAACTAAGAAGAAAACAGTAACAGTAATTAGGTTTTCCACCTTAAATACTTTGGAACTGTCATAAACTAATATAAATTAAAAATATAAGTGTATATGTTGCTTTCCTCAAATGATCTGAATTGACCACTTCTGAATTCTTTTTTTCATTTATTTTTATTAGTTGTAGGCTAATTACTTTACAATATTGTAGTGGTTTTTGTCATACATTGACATGAATCAGCCATGGAGTTACATGAATTCTTGACTGATCTGAGCAGTCCCAAACTGGCTACATCAATGCACAAAGCTCTATTATTTGAGTAGACATAAGTTCTAGGGATTTAAAGGGCTTGTTATCTTGAAAAACATATTCTAACAGTCTCAGTGTTCTATTACTAGACTGAGATTTTGTTATTACTATTCCTGTGACCACATAACCCTTTTGTAGTTGGCTGTTTTTGCTTACTCCAATCTATAAAGTCAAAAACATGAAGCCAGGATAATGCAGACTAGGATAAATAACACACGATGCTTTTCTCATCTAGATGGTCTTTACCATAACAGAGCAGGAAAGGACAAGCATATGTTTTCTCCAATATTTAAGTACAATTCTTTTGCAGATCTCCAAGAAGAATGTTCAGAGTGAAAACTCAGTCAGAGCCAAATAAAACCAAAGCACAGCTTTCACACAAAAATAATTTTAAATGATCAGTTTTTTTGCACCAGAAATAATGTCTTCTCATAGCCCAGGTGATTCTGCTCAAAAATTTTAAATTTAAAGCACATATACACTTCTCAAAAAATCTTCTGTCACAGTGCCTACCATGGGTATCTTCATGAATTCACTTATAAAGAGCTGCATAATCTGCTAGCTCCATTATCTGTTCTGTATTATTAAACTCAACAGAAAGCTCCATATGCAGCAACAGGAGGCCATAGGCAATTAACACTGCAAATGGAAAGGCTTAGAATCTTTGCATGACCTTTAAAGGTCAACACAGTTGCCCATTCACATGCATGCAATTATACAGTGACTAGTTCATAGCAGGGAAAAAACTCAAAAATATTTAGTAAAACAAACCTTGCATTCATCAAAAGCTACTTTGCACTCTCCAGGCTTTATATGAAGACTTAGCTTTATGTGGCTCAAGAAAAAAAGAGCAAAGGAGACTTGTTGGGCTGATTGTCCCCATTTTGTCAAAGTACTAAATTCAGCCTACCACTATAATTGCTAAGAAGGCAGCATTATCACATTATCCAATCTCTCTGTCTGTAAAAAGTTTCCAAAATCTACTGTGTAAAAGGAGAACTATAAATATAAATGTAATTGAATAAGTATGTTTTGGCTATTGCTAGGGGAAAGGGATATGTACCTTCTCTAACTGGCCATTCAGGGTAAATTATAAAATAATTACAGGAGCTATGGAGTAATTTAGGAGACTAAAGGAAGTGATTTAAAGGACTTTATCAAATAAAAGCATATAAGCTCTGATTCCCTAGTTATATTATATATCCCATATGGATAATTATGAATAAAATGGAATACTCTCCTTATAGTTTATATATTCATGTCTTATATGAATCCCAAGTAACCTGAAAGTCTTCTATTTTTTAAATGTTAATAAAAATCAACTGCATAAATTTTTCACTAATTCCAGTCACTAGGTGGCCTACACTTATAGTAAAGTGTAAAATGTATAGGGTAAAACCCAACACATACATGTAGTACACACATTGGAAGTGGGTGGGTTTAGGAAATTTAACAAACTTGGAGTGTAATATCAATATGTTTCTAGAAATTTTATAGATACCATTTGAAACCAGAATAGCATTTTCTCATGTAATGCAGTTTGTGTTTTGACTGCAGAGGTACATATTTAATAAAGAGAATACAGATATATTCACTGTTTAACATGTGTTGAGATTGCCAGTCATGGTGTCAATAAAAACATTCTGAAAAGCCCTTACATAGAGGACAAAACTGATTTTTTTTGCATTTTTAGCCTAATGAATAAAAAATCTCCAAAAGAAAGAACTGAAGAGAAAAAATATTGCCTGCAACAGTGGCTCAAAGATTAAAGCTCAATTACAAGCAACCTTGTTAAATGACAGTTACGGTTGCACTGTAGGTCAGATCATGTAAAAGAGTGAAATATTAGGTACCTTAAAAATGTAGACCTTTTTTTAAAGGCCTTCTCTCCCCTTCAATACATGGTTCCTGTTAAATGCGTATGTGTGTGTGCACATACATATATAAACTTATAGAAGTAGAGATTAGAGTCATATTGCCAGAAAAAAGTATTTAAGTACCATTTTTCTTCACATTCCAATTAAGTCTAACCCTTCCTCTTAAAATTTCTGTCAAGAGTGAGGAGAAGACAAAAATTGTTAGCTATATTTTATTGAGAAGGTCACTGATCCATTGTGCCAAATGATCAGAATCAGACTTTCTAAAAATTACCAGTGGTCAATGACAACTGAAAAACCAAAACCAACTCCTAGGTCGCTGTTTGCGGGGCCTGACTTTTCCTCTCCCCTATTTCAGACTGCATTCTAAACCTAAAGTAAGACTGTTCTCTAAAAAGACTCATTGTGAGAATATATTCCTCTTTCAGTGGTACAGCTCCATGTTCTCCAAGTAGTTCAAAATAAATCAAAGAATTTTCAAACAAAATGGCAAATTCACCATATTACCTGGCATTAAAATCAATGGTTCATAAACAATATGTATCTCATGAAACACGGTGCAGGTATGTGGACCAGATATGAGGTTGATGCAGCTGGTTTGGCCTTCATATCTAGAAACACTCTGTTAATGCATTTCTTTCTCTTTGTTTTGATGGAGCCCTACAAATAACAGGTTGATGAACTGCATTTGTAAATGTCAGGTAGAGATCAAAGGGGGCCGCGTTAGATGTTTATTTTACTTCAACTTATGGTTTTTCACCTAGAAAACAAAACTGCATTGCACAGTCAAGTTCCTTATTTTTACTTGAATCTTCAACGAGCAAAACAGCTGCAGAATAATGTGACTTAATGAGGCATCCCTAATAAAATGCTGGAGAAGTAAAAGCAGGGGCACTGAACTGTTTGCACTCTGGTTGTTTCATCATCTCAAATATATTAGAAATAAAGTGAAGACACTTTAGAACATTCCTAGTTTGGGACATGTGTTAGAGAGGCAAACGCCCATCAGCTTGCTGCCACAGCTGAACTTAGGCAGAATCGGACAGTACCTTTTATCAGAGCTCATGATTTAAAAAAAAAAGCCTGGAAAATGCTAGAGAGGCACATATTAGCCTATCTATATAGAATAATCCATACTTGCAACTAGTGATGAGTCAACCCTAAACTGCACTTTCAACATTTCAGTACTCAAAAACACTTGGTAAAAGAATCAAAATTAAAATACTATATTGAAGATACAGAATCCAGGACCACTTAAACTTCGATACTATACAAAATAACTTCCATAAAACCTATCACTCCCTAAGTTTCATCACTTCATAAATTTTTAAAAAGGAAAAGTGGCCATGTCTAAAAACAGATCTTTTTACAGCTGTGTTATCACATTTTATAACTTGGTGTTTAGTAAAGACTATAATGCAGTCTTCAAGCAATACGTACCTTTCTTTACATAGATCCATGGGATCTCAATGAATCTTCACTCTCCAGTCTGTCACTTAAAATAGCTAATACTTTTCAGCTTCAAAAGCACACAAACTCAGTAACCTTAGGTTCCTTTTTAGCACAACTTGTAGCACTATAGGTGTTTGCTTTTATGCCAAGTTTTTTGCTTCTTCCTTAAGAGACGTACATCATAGCACTATGTATGAATATGTAAGTTCAAGCACCCTAAACTATAAAACTGTGTTAAAGGCAAGAATCAAGATTCCAGTCTCAAAAAAAAAAAACAAAAAAAAACACCTAACTTGAAAAAAGCAACATACTGAAACTGCGTTCTGCCTCTTAAAAGTCACTGTATCCAAGAAGTCAGTTGGCAATGTGACACTGTTCTCATACTATTATATCTATAAATAATGTGACCCAATTTTTTTCATTGAAAGTTAAGAAAATGAAAATAAAATAAACTCCAGTGTGGTGAGTAATGGCCTTTCAATGGCTACTGATGACTTTAAAAATTAGGATTCTACAAAGGTCAATATGCAAACAACTGACCCAGGAGGAGATCCAAAACAGGATAAGGTAGGAAGAGAGAAGATTAAATGTGCCTGATCATTTTTAATAAACTTAGGTGTGAGATTTGAAACTGTAAAAGAGTCACTAGTCTGAGAGTACATGTTCAAACATGGGAAGGCTGGAATAAATACAGATAATCTTAATGCCTGGTTTTTAAAGGGTTTAGAAGTGCTTTCAGCCTCCTCTGCTAGTTATTGTCATTTAGCACTTTACACAGAAATCTTAAATTAATTACTCATTTGTCTTAACTTACACTGCCTAATAGATCAGTTTTAAAGTGTTAATTGGTAACAGTCTGAATGCCGATGTCTCAAACAACCTAGTTGGGGAAGACAGGAATCAGATAATTATCATGCAGTCAATAGTCATTAAAATTCATCCTGTCATGAGTAAAAGGCCCTTAAACACTGGCTGCTTTGGGGTTACTTTTCAGAGCAAAGGTTGCATACAGGTTTGGCTTTGTTTTTTCAAGAACACAGCTTGCAAAATTCAAGACGGTATTTAACACTCTTAGAAACATTATTTTCTGTCTTAGGGCCACAAGCCCAAGTCACCCAGCACCAGGTGAAGAGAGGCTAGCTAGTTACTGTAGCGACTACACCTGTGATTCCACACGCTCCAGGCAACGGTTCAACACTTGCTCAAGAAGCAGAATACTGACTCACTGACTCCGAAAGCTTCGCATCTATTCAGGGGCTCTCAAGCACCGACAGTTCGTCCTTTTTATGTGGAGACTAGAGAGCTCAACCTGCAGTTCTAGGGGAAAGACGGCGATGGACCTCAAACTTTGCTTTGCAAAGGCAGTGTCTGGAAATAACACGTTCCCCACTGACAGTGGCCTAAAAGAAAACACTTCTTGGTGGAACCGGGCCTTTTGGAATGGAAGAGGGAAGGGCCAGGCAAGCAGTGAGTCAGAAAAACCGTGTAGTATTAACAAGACTGTGGGGACATCCATCCGGAAACAAATGAAAAACCGTTAGTTTCTCGAAGCTGTGGTTTTTCGTTTTTTGTTTTTTCTGAACGCTGCTCCTAAAATGACCCTTGTCCTAAACCTCTCCGGTAGTATCCTTTACTAGATCTTTATCTCGGTAGTAAAGCGTCTGCTACCAAATCCAAGTACAGCCTTTACAGAGACAAGGGGCCAGAACTTATCCAGATGATTCTTGATGAAAACAGTCAGAGGTGGAGAAGGCAATCGCCTCATTGAAACACCCACCTTCTGCAGACAGGCCCGAGAAATAATCAGAAGTAGGCAGAAAGTGGGGATTTCGCAAAGACGACCTGGCATGCTACTGATGTCAGGGTCCCTTACACGCGACCCCCAGCTTCTTATTAGGAGTCCAAAATGATTACCGACCGAGATTGGTCAGGTAGAGGGGTGGAATTCAGACCCACTCAGTCCTCGGCCGGGTGGCTCGCTGTGTTAGGAGAAATGGGGCAGAGAAGAGAGCGGAGAGAGGAAGGGCAAGGCTCTCGGAACCTCCTCCGCTTGCTCTGACCCCCTCGGCGTTCCTCCACTCCCGCCCCTAGCCGGGCCGCCCAACTAGCATCTGCCGTCACCCCCTCGCTGCCCCCGGGTGAGCTCGCTACAGCCCCCGACCCCCAGGTCCTGCGGCTGCCGCGCGAGCCCCCAGCGCCGGCGGGAGGCGCGGCCGGCACCTACCTGCAGCCCGGCTTCCTGGTGGCGGCAACACCTAGCGACGCTCCTGCAGCTTCCGCGGACCCGCGCCAGTCTTACCGCTCTCGCATCGCTTCCAAGATGCCAATCCGCCGTTACCGTTCTGGGGCATAGGGAACCGAAGTCTGGAGGTGTGTGCTAGCGGAGGGCGTGTGAGTGTGGCCCCGAGCGTGTGTGTGTGTGTGCGCGCGCGCGTTTCCTCCTCCGATAGCAAAAGAGGGTTCAGGAATCTCTTGCCATCCAAACTGGAATCCCCTTAAAGTGGGCGGAAGCTGACGTGCGGGAGCCTCGGCTCTTTCCTCCTCTCGTTTTTCTCGAGTCAAAGTAACCAAAAGATGCGTGGACTGGGGGAGACCGAAGTCCCCAGGCCTCGCCGGCGCCCGCGGTCGCCCGCGGTCCTCGCCGGATGCGCGCGGTGCGCTCAGCTCGTCACACTGCGAGAATCAAGGCGGTCTCGCAGCAATCGCCGCTCTTCTCCATCCCTGATTTGTGTGCGCTTAAAACGCGGAGTAACGACTTTTCCTCCCGCCGCACGTCGCCTCACACGGCTACACACGCACACATCCTCAGTTCCTTGTCTCCCGCCCTCCCTTTTGCTCTCTGGGGAAAGGCAATTGGACGGAACAGTTCACCTTCAGGAAAGCCGCCTCCGCCGCGTACTTCTCCAGTTCCCCGGCTCTCGCGGGTCCCGGGTCTCCGGCGGGCGAGAGAGGCTGGGGAGGTTCGGGGCAGGACGGAGGAGAGGCTCCGAGCTCGCTGTCCTCCGCCCTCGAGACGCTGGAGTTGCTCGGTGCAGGCAGGCGCTAGTGCTCCGGCTTTGAGCAGACAGGTCTCAGCTGATGCCGGTTCCGAGACTTGGCGCCAAGTCCACTTAACAGCAACTCCTAGCCAGCTGCAGCCCCTCGATCCCGCCCCGAAGTGCTGCGGGCAGAGCCCCACGCAGCCCAGCCGCTGCTCCTCTAGGCATCATGGGCTGGATGCGGGGGAATCGCCGCTGTCCCCCTGTCCCCGTGCGCTGGCGCGGTCACCACCGAGAAGGTGCGAGCTCCGGCATCGAACACCAGCGAGCTGATGCTGTCTGTGTCAATTCGCTAAAGAACGGGAGAGAGATGAGGCGGGGGGCACGGCGGAGGAAACAAATCAGACCCCCGGAATAAAAAGAAGCTGTTTAGTAACCGAAGCCTCCTCTCCGCCTCGCAGCCTAGATGCTGCACTGTCAAAAACACACTAGTGGGTGCCTTTTAGAAAGTCACCGTAGAGGACAGAATCCCCTGTTCCACCCAGACCCCTATTGCACCCAGCCTGGAAGTCCAGGGAGTTCGGAATGACTGGCTTCCCTGTGTGGCGCAAGGCGGACGCAGGGAGAAAACAGCTGCCAACACTCCAGGTTGAGTTAAGCTAGAAAATGCGAGGGCAGGACCAGGCGGCACCGCCTCCCTCCGTCTCTCTTCCCAACAGCCACCTCTGTTCAGCAGCCGCACCTGCTTCTGAGAGCAAGCTGCGGTCTTGCAGCGAAAGAAAGAGGCAATCCAAGACGAGGGCAGCGGCTGGTATAAAAGCTGGACTATGTCTCCCCCTAGAGGGAGGTCCGCGTTAGTACGCTCTACCGGCTGTAACTTGACAGGGACTTCGAACTTGAATTTTTCCACGAAGAAAAAGAAGAGTAACTGGCTTCAGAGAGGTGTTTTGGTTTTACAAATTCCTACCTTTAATTTATCTATAGACAGAATTTGTGCCGAAGGCCTAGTTAAGCAGTGTCCTTGATAAAGGAACCTGACAGTCTTTACAGAACTTTAATAGCAAGACGCTGAAAGGTTTGGTCAATTTGGGTGCCGACTTAAACAGTAGGCATAAGGGTTCGAATGAAGAGTCTTCTAAAGTTCAATTTGACTAAGTTTGGCCATGAGCAAAACTTTGATCTAGTGACTAGAGGATTATGCAAAAATCAATAAGCATGAATAATGAATTTGGAAAATCTAAAACAAAGAAATGATCCTGATGGATCCAGGAAATCTTACAAACCCCTTATATCTAGGGATAACTCACAGATCTTGCTTTGGAGCCAATATCCATACCTTATTTAACTAAACTAATCATTGTCCAGGTGACTAAATTCCTTCCAGCTCTGACGTTTTGTGCTTCTATAGCTCTAATACACTAAAACCACTGACAGACTGCCACATACTCCTTTCATCAGTTATAAATATAAGTAATACTGGTTGCCACATTTACAAAGAAGTGTGGAACACAGTTTCACTTTTCAGTGATCTTAAATTGCACTAGGCTGGGGTGATCGTTTTAATAAGTAGTATTACCAAGTCAAAACTTGGGTCCACTCACCCTTGGGCAGCAACGCGATCTCCCGGCAGTCGGTGGTGGTGAGGAAAAACGCAGTGATTACTGTGGGCGTCAGACGAGGAGTTCTGGGTTTGGGGGGCAGCAGCTCTGGCACTCCTTGTCTGGTTCCAACAATAAGCATTGCTCTTTCCTTCACCACAACCCAGTCTGTAGACTGGCTTTGCTAACCCAGAGGGAGTGGACACAAGTTTGATTCAGTAAGATAGTGTCACAGATGTTACAATGTTTTGTTACTTTGGTCAAGTTAAAGCTAGGGCCCATCTGCCACATTAATATTTAGATTTTGTGAACTATTTAAAAGTTTTAATTCAAAATATTTCTGTATGACACATGAAACTAGTGAATATAACAAAAAAGAAGCAGACGCAGACACAGAGAACAAACTAGTGGTTATCAGTGAGGGAGGAGAGGGGCCGTATGGGGCTGAGGGAAAGAGGTACAAATGATCGGGTCTAAAATAGGCTCACAACACCAAGAATACACCCAATGTACATGTTTGCTCAGTCACTCCAGTCATGGCCAACTCTTTGTGACTCCATGGGCCATGGCCCACCAGGCTCCTCTGTCCATGGGATTCTCTAGGCGAGAATTCTGGAGTGGGCTGCCATGCCCTTCAGCAGGGGATCTTTCCAAGCCAAGGTTTGAACCCATGTCTCTTATGTCTCCTGCATTGGCATGCAGGTTCTTTACCACAGCACCACCTGGGAAACCATAAGAATATAGGCAATAGTTTGTAACAACTATTACAAAAGTTATAATGTAACCTTTAAAAATGTATAAAATGAAAAGTATAAAATGTATAAAATGAAAAGTATAAAAAATGTATAAAAGTATACATTTTATAAAATTGTATAAAAATTGTATAAAATGTATACATTTTATAAAATTGTATAAAAATTGTATAAAAATGAAAAAATATATAAAATGAAAAGTAACCTTTAAAAATGTATAAAAATTTTTAAGTAAATAGTAAAAATAAGCAGAAAAACAAAAATTCCATTTAAAAATTATTTTTAAATATATTCAAGTTTTTATTAAACTCCTTTCCATTTACTCTGAATTTTTGAAGTAGTTCTATTTTAATGTGATAATTAATTTAGTTTAGGGTTAAAGAAAGAAAAGAATTTATTTAAAAAAAAATAGCTTAGACTAATTGAAGTCATTTGAAACAAGGAGCGAATGCATTTAAAGCCAAATCCAGCTTTCTAATTGCAGTTTCCTGGACGTTTGGGGGTGAGTACAGTGTCTGGTGAGTTTAGTGTCCACTCTACAGCATTGCTTACAGGTTTTTCTACAATGCTGTGCTGTAAAATATTGTCATATTTGCTATTTCCTGGTACAGTGTAGTTTTTACCCTTTCATTTGAGTAATAGCATGACACATGTGTGCTCAGTCGTGTACTTTGTAATCCCATGGACTGTAGCCTGCCAGGCTCCTCTGTCCACGGAATTTTCCAGGCAAGAATACTGGAGTGGACTGCCATTTCCTCCTCCAGGCGATCTTCCCAACCTAGGGTTGGAACCCATGTCTTCTGTGTCTCCTGCATTGGCAGGCGGATTCTTTACCACTGTGCCACCTGGGAAGTCCTCATGGAACACACACACACGCGCGCGCACACACACACACACACACACACACGAGCCAAAACTAGATAATGTAGTTTTATTCTTTTAGCTAATTGTACTAGAGTAGATTTGAATCAGTCAAATACATGTCAATCAGGTGAGGTACCCTCACCTGGTCTCTTTCAAAAGATTCATATCATATGGTCAAAGATTTTTATTTTGTTCCTCTTGCCTAGCAACTTTCCCCAGGAAGCAAGGTTTACATTTTAAGACACTTGGCCCTACTGTTTCACTGCCAATCCTACAGTAATTCTCAATCAGCAATGTTAAGTAGTAGGATGGAGTCCAAGCAGGAATGAAGACCTGGCCTCTGTGCTGGGAGGAATAGCCGTTTACAAAATCATTTTAGAACACTGGGTTTCCTTTCTTACAAGAAATATAAAGCATACTTTATAATCCCTCTAGCTTCTAATTCAGTAGATCTCGATGACTACAGGAAAATCTATCATTTTTTCATATTGCTAAATTTGTACTTTATTGTTAAAATGTATGCCATTTCATCCTTATTTTCAATATTAAACCCATATGTTTTTGCAAAAATGTAGAAAAGAAGTTCATAAAGAGAACAAATGTATACATTAATTACAAAATATAATAGAATTTCCTATCCAAACTCATAATTCTGTAATGGCCTTTGTACTTTTTGTAAATATCTAGATAATTTCTGATGATTTTTAGGTCAAGGTTTTCCTATTTCCAGCACCTCCTAGACTTTGAAATCAAGTATTTTGCTTTCCCTCTGAAACAAAGCAGCAAATATGTCCCAGTTTAATAGAAATCTTGAGATGATATGTGTAATCATCTGTTTATTTAAACTGCCTGCCTCATCCCATGTAAGCAGTAAAAAATAATTACTTGGAATGCAGAACTTCACTGATAGCAACTCCATGTATAGCTCTTCACATTCTGAGGGCTTACTGAAACATCACTTTGGGGCACTTTAAGCTTTTTGCTAGAGGCTTCCTATTTAAAAATCTCAAATTCTTAAGTCTTCACAACATGCCATAAAGTACACAATGTGTGTGTGTGTTAGTTGCTCAGTCGTGTCTGACTCTCTGCGACCGTGGGTTGTAGTCCGCCAGGCTCCTCTGTCCATGGAATCCTCCAAGCAAGAATACTGGAGTGGGCCGTCATTCCGTTGTCCAGGGGATCTTCCTGACCCAAGGATTGAACCCAGGTCTCCCGCATTGCACGCAGATTCTTTACCATTTATATCAAAGTACATGATATAACCCCATTTTACAAATTTTTAAAAAAAAATTGAGACAGTTTCACTGTGATTAAGTGGCAGAGCTGGAAATCGAACTAGATGGATCTACCTGGATCCAAAACCAGTTTTTGGTTTGGTTTTGGCTTTCATTTTTTTTTTTAATCTATTTACTTCTGTCTGTGCTGGCTCTCCATTGCAGCTTGGGGCTTTTCTCTCGTTGCAGGAATCAGGGGCTTCTCTCCAGCTGCAGTGCTCAGGCTTCTCGGGGCAGCAGCCTCTCTTGCTGTGCAGCACTGGTTCCAGGGCATGCAGGCTTCAGTAGCTGTGGCGCAGGGGCCTAACTGCTCCGCAGCACGTGGGACCTTCCTGATCAGAGACTGAACCTGTGTCCCCTGAACTGGCAGGCATATTCTTTACCACTGAGACACCAGGGACGCCCCTTGGTTTTTATTTTTGTTTCTACCCTCCCCAGCACCACCACTAAAATAGGCTGTCTTCTATATTGCAGGGAAATAAAAATCATTTGGACCTGGATATGGGAAAAAACTTGGGCTTCCCGGTGGCACTAGTGATAAAGAACCTATCTCCAATGCAGGGGACATGAGACTCCGGTTCAATCCCGGGGTCAGGAAGATCCCCTGAAGGAGGGTATGACAACCCACTCCAGTATTCTTTCCTGGAGAATCCCATGGACAGAGGAGCCTGGCAGGCTACAGTCCGTGGGGTCGCAGGGACTCGGACAGTACTAAGTGACTTAGCATGCATCATGCATGGAAAAACTTAACCAAAGAACATGGGTACATTAATAAGAATAGAAGGAAATTATTTGTGGGAGAGAGAGAAGATAAGCAAGCACCAGCTCCCCTCAGTACTCTGAGG